TTTGTCAGTGTAAGGGAGGTTAGGAATACAGTATGTCTTAGTGCTGTTATGGGATTTGCTACAAGGAGGCATTACGGGATGTTGCCAGCATCACAGACAGCCGTCCCAGTCTGTCTCCCTGTTTGGTATCCAGAGAAGATTAAACTGCAGCTGATTTAATTTGAGCCTTAATTAAACCTCAACAGCTGCCAGTGGATCCTCTAAAAAGGCTAACTGGTTGACAGACAGTCTGTCAGAGATAAAGAGGTCTGGAAAGTGGAAAAAGTGGCAGGAAGAATGAGAGATGAGAGGAGACAAACAGGCTAGAAGTTCATTAACAACAAAACTATTGAGTGAAGACTAACTTTGGAGCAGTAATTTTTGCATGTCCTGCTTTCAGTGTGTTCTGCAGATTCTGAGCACTCAAGGAGGTGGCAGACTGCATGCTAACTGTTGGTTTACAGGATCAAACTTGATACATCCATATTTGAAAACTGATGCAGCATTGTGGGAAATACTGTGACACGGGTAGGAAGTGGTGCAGGAATGGGCACCAAAACCAGAGCCTGGTGAGCAGGTAGTGGAACTGGGCTCAGCAGCACAGCTAACTAACTAACATTAAGTTCTTTTTACTAGGTTTTTTTATTTTCACAGTACAAACTAAAATTTTAAAATTAAGTTCGTGTCACTAAATGTCTTTAAAGCTGCATAATCAAGAATGTTGTAACCTTACAAAATTGAGTTAGTGTTTCTTACTTTTTGAGCTAAATTAACTTATCAGGTGTTACAGTGTAACAGCATGCTGCCATAAAGTGGTGTCGGGTGCAGTATCGGAGTAGTTTTATGATTACAATTACAAGTACATGATCACAGTACCGGACTTTATACTGGTATCAGTATCGCTGCATCCCTAGTATCAGCAATTATTTTATGAGTTAGCCAAACTGCAAGATGAACTTTTGGCTATTACCCAGTAAACATGCATTGTAAAAGTGTCTTTACACTCTGCCAAGCACCAGTGCATTAACAACACCACACTTACAATAAAGGCAAAATAGATTGAATTATAATTACTGCATTTTCCACAGCATGGTCAGAGGATGCATTTTTCCTGTCATGACATCAGACATGCATTCCTGAGAGAGAAATAAATAAATAGAGAAAGATTTTCAGAGAAAGGAGAAGAAGAGATGGAGGATGAGTTGTGCATAATGCATGAACAACAAGAAAGAGAATAACCAGATTCAGGCCAAAATGAGAGTAATTTAGAGGCTCAGAGGGTGTCAGAGAAACAATGAAAGGATCAGCCAGTCATCACCCCTCCTTCCTCCTCCTCCTCCCAGTGTTCAGGGCCGGCAGGGCTCGGAGTCTCAGTGCAGCACATTAAAGGCTGACCCGCTGCTAATTGGGAGTTTGTTTGGAAAAAGGCTTGTATAAAACACAGAAACAAAGAAATAAAAAGCTGTATTTATTTTTATTCAGCCGAGCCCAGCTGTCTGAGGCCACCCGCTGACTGATACAATAAAGGATTTCTACACTGTGGGCCAGACCATTACTTCAAAATGTCTGACAGCGAAAGGATCTTTAGCACTATTATAATGGACACTGTGTATCCCATGTTTGGAAAATAAATATTTGAATTACTATTGGGTTATAGCTTTACCTGCAAGTTCTCATGGTAATCAAACACCCAGCTAAGAATCTCAGTAAGGTTCAATAAGTAGAGATCAACTGAAAATGTATAACAATATTTGTTAAGATAGCAATAGAGGAAGAGTTTGTCATTTTCATAGTATTTTTAGCTATGTTAGCAGCATGGCTTTAGGGATGACTATTCTTTATTCAGGTCCACCACTTTGGTCCTGAAATATCTTAGTAACCATTATATGTACAGACATTCATGGTCCCCAGAAGATGAATCATGCTTACTTTAGTGTTCGTTTGACCTTTACTCTAGCACCACCATGAGATTGACATTTGTGGTTCAGAGAGAAATATCTTGACAACTATCAGATTAGGCTGCTCAATTAATCAATAATCAATAATTAATCGAAATATTATTAAAATCGCAATATGCGACTCACAGAAACTGCACATTTTGGATAAAGGTCATTTGTGTGACAAACAGCAATATAATGAAGTACTGTAGAGCTGCAGAGATGCCCTGGCCTACAAATGAGAAACATGTTTGTTTGGTACAGACCCCAAAAGTCACAGCAGCTTGATCTAATAGTTTTTCAGTGAAAATTACATTATCATAATACATCATTATTTATGATGCAAAAATAATCATTCCTATGCTAATCGTGAATCATATTGCAATATCTGTCAAAATAATATGCAATATGAAACTATTGGACATTTGTTAGAGATATTCAAGTTTCCTGGAGGATAAATTACTTTGATGACCCAATAACTTTTCCTCCAGTACCTCCAGCAGGTCAATGTTTTTATTGAGTGAAATATCTCAACATTCACTTGATGGATTTGCAGGAAATGTTGTGCAGATATTCATATTTCCCTACTAACTTTGGTAATCTACTTAATTTCCTCAGCGCCACCATTTGTGGTTTTTATTAAGCTATGTTGACAACTGTGAAATTTGGTACATGGTCCCCAGAGGAGGACCATGATCAGGTCAAAATGTTTGGTCAAATGTTTGTCCAGTACTTTGGTTTATGACCAAATATTGCAAAACAAATGGCATTCCCTTTGTGTTTAATGCTAGTCAGCAAACTTTGGCATGTTCCCATGATAGTTTTTCACACGCTAGCTACCCACTAAAGAATGACTCATCTGTTCATAGGTATCACACTCTTCACTGTTTATTTGTCAGTCAGTATATATATTTTGCCAATATTTTTATGTTTTACAACTTATTGATTACACAACAAAGAGCTAAAAATAAAATCTCCCATTTTTTCACACCACACCCAATTTACAATTTGAATCCTTTTTTCTTAAAAGCGAGCTGAAGGAGACACAATATCTTTGGCCTTGTGGAACGCCACCGCATCTGTAATGCCTTATCACTGGGGTCCCTTCTTCTCATATGGGATATTATGGGAAAATAATTCTACACATTCTTTTGTCGATAATAAATACTTTGTGGCAGTTTTTGTTTTAGAGTTAACTAGTGACCTCAAGTGTGGGCCGTTCGATGCCTCTTTATAATTGAGTAACTTGTCTAGGGTAGTGGAAATATTTCCACAGCCTTCAGTTTTTCTGTAGTTTCCCAGATTCCCGTTTTTTTAGATTTGTCTGTTCCATAAAAATTAAATAACAAAACATTTCCAAAACAAAACATTCTGCAAAGCATGCCGACTTTATCGGAATGAGGAAAGAACCTTATACTTTGTTTGCCTGGGTGGTTAATATCTGCCTTACATTAAAACCCTGAACTCGCCTGCTCCTCCTGAATCAGCCTCCTCTTTGATGGCCAGCTTTTCTACTCTACTCTACTATTTTCTACTCCTGCTATTCAAGCCCAGTGTATGTTTACTGGATGTTTAAAGATCAACTGAATCACTCTTTTGTGAGTCAGTAAATACGTATCGTCTTTGTGGTCATCTTGCATTATACAACCTTGGTTGTAACTCTCGTTTAGGGCTGGGTGTCATTCAAAAATGTTCAATACCAATACCGATACCTTGACTTTGATACCGCTTCCTGAACAATACTTTCTGTGATACCAATTTTATAAAATGTATTTTAACAAAAAGAAAAATACATGATACATTACGTGCAATTACTCACTTCAAAGGAGAAAGCTGTTCAAAGACCTGGAGCCACTGGGGAAACAGTTTTTATCTGCTCCCTTTACTCAACCTGGATAACTGGAGTAAAATGAAGAAATAAAACTGAATATCTGCACAGCACTGGACTATATAAAAATTATAAATAATGTCAAAGGAACATTCTTTTGAATAATAAGAAACCGTATGGCAACAACATGGTAAGTCTAATCCAGGGGTAAGCAACCTGCAGCTCCAGAGTTGTATGCAGCCCTTTAGCCCCTGTCCATCATTGTTGTAGGCCTACAGGGAATCTTACATTCTCCAATTGTAAAATTGTGTAGCTATTACACACCAAATAAAAAGTAACATTAACATTTCGTCAACTAAAATATGAGCCATACGTTACGTCATGGTGCCTCTTTCTATGCATTTGGTCCAACTTAATGGCTAATAGCCTTGAGTCTGCCTTGCTAGGCTAGCTATAAATCTAAATCCAAAAAAAGAAAAACTCTTGGAGAAATATAAAAAATGTATTAGTGCATGGACAGATTGATTTGCTTTTACTACCAACTGCTGGCTTAACCCTAACCCAACTCCGGTGTGTTTCTCTCTTGTTGTACTCCTGTCAGTGTGTAAACAGCATGCTGTCTGAAACGCTCACTGTCCCCACTTTGGCGAGGAAAGGATGCACCATGGTGAACAGACTCAGCGATAAGTGGATACAGGTTAGCTGCACTTGTCTTTGCAGTTAAGCAGCTTGCAGCAATAAACAACAAGTGAGCCCCTTCTCTGCAACGTGTAATGTTAGACAGCCTGCTGTGTGCTTACTGGCACACTGACACTGATTTGTATTACTCTGTTGATACCAAAATTTGCTACAGAATGACAGGACATTTTTTGATAGTTGGTAGTATAGGCGCAATTTAGTCAGTGCCATAAAAGTGCTGAAGTTTGGTACCCAGCCCTAGGACTGACAATAGTTGGTTTGCAGTTATTCATGAGTGAAATGTGAGTCCTTGTGCATCTGAAAAATGTAAATGAAAAGAGAATGAAATATGTAAATATTGCAAAACAAGAAACAGAAATTCTACCCAAGCGCCCTGGAAATAAGAATGCAGCCTAAAAACATATGCAATGCTTTGGAAAGTTGTCAGTCAGTAAAGTAACATAATTTGGAATCTTGCCATGTTTATTTAAGAGACTAGAGAGACAGAAGAAATCAGCAGATTTTGTTTCAAATAATGTCAGCAACTGTAGACCGACTGCTGGTTTATATTCACTTACCAGTTCTTCATTTCTTTGAAGTGGAACCAAAACTGCCCCAGGGAGTTCTGCTTGACCTTCCCGGCTCTCCGTAGTTGTTGTAACAAGCCGTGCTGTCGGCCCCGCCTGGCTTGCTCCGCCAGAAAAAGTCCTAATTGGCAGAGAAACACACTCGCACCTCCTATTGTGGAAGGTTATTATCTGTGGGAAAGCCTTGAAGAACTGGCCCGGTGGGATCCAGTGTCTGTGTTTTCTCTGGATGCTGAGAGAAAATGTC